GGGGGGGGGGGGGGGGGGGGGGGGGGGGGGGGGGGGGGGGGGGGGGGGGGGGGGGGGGGGGGGGGGGGGGGTGCAGACGCGTAGTTCGACAGGAGAGGAGTCCACGATCGGTTGCTATTGTTGTGTTGTTGTTGTTGTTGTTCTTGCTGCGGTTGTTGTTGTCAAGTGTTCCGAGACATGAGAGGAGGGTACGGTCGGTTGCGTTGTATATCGGTCAGAGCTTCGCAAGTGTCCAGTTTGTGACACCCCAAGCCCGCACTTTGTAACTCTCACCCTACGAACGATGTGGACGGCTATACCCTCAACGGAGGACGGGGGGGGGCAAAACCCCCCGCGTCCGGACCTTGTATGGCATTCGTATGCGTGCACCTCCAAACTGATGTGGGGTTAACGAAGTCTCGGTTCAGGAAGGGGCAGGAAGCACCCATTCCAAGACACCTAGCGTGCGAAACGCCCTGATCATCAGGAGCGTGGGCAGGAATACTCTGATAGCTACCGTAGATGACGTAACTTGATACAACCCCATGCACTGATTTTCGAAGCTCCATTACAATACTCCACAGTAGACAGAGTGGCGGTGCCGAAAATGGCGGAGTTGGAAGCGTCTCGTCGAGAGTTCCCCCGAAACCGTACCGCTTGATTAAAGCACCCGTCGTGGGGTAGTCGAGCATTCAAAATCGATCCACGGGTGTGATGTTTTATGCCATTTACGACGGTGTCTGACACTGTTTTTCATTTGCGGGGATGGCGGTAGCGGAGCGCAATCAGGCGGGTGAAGCCTGCGAACACATGCCATTTATTGTTCTCTACGAAGAGCAGGGCCACACGCTTTGAGACCTTGTCGTCGTTCTCCGACGTGTCACCTCTCGGATATATCTCTCTGTGCTACAGCCGTTGAGCACGTTGTGCCTACTTGGCGCTCAATGATACCCGGACGATCGTTGCACGAAAGCCTTGAACCTCAGGAAGGAATACCTGATACTTACCATTCCTCCGAAGGTCGAGGTGTTTGAGTGTGCGTGTGTGAGTGAGTCGCCGCCGTCTGACAAAATCTGCACAAATCGTTCGCACGATGAAAGACTCTTTTTTGAGGAGATCAGTGTCCTCGTTCTTCTTCGATGGACACCCGACACCGGACGCTTTCAGCGCGGTAACCCTGTCCACGGGTTTCCTTGCTGCCGGTGATGACACCGCCTGCTCTGGTGTTTACGTTCCTTGTGCAACAGCAGTTTGACCCATTCGATTGATGACTGGTATTGTACGCCGATTGTTGCAAAAAAATTCAAGCCAGGCGCAAGTCAAGAAGACCTCGCGCACGGATAAAAGGCGCCAGAACATACCGGCGTCACTTGAGGTGGTCCGCGGGGACTTTGGGCGTGGAGATAGAAACACACGAAGCACTTTCAGATCCCTGGGTGGGTACAGTTAGCGCACGCCCTCAAGAAGCTCTTATTGGTTTTGGTCGAGGAGGGTCCCTACTTCCTCTCGTGGGCTAAAATAGCCGCTGCATACGAAATTCTGTCTGTTCGTGTAGGGGTTTTTAAACGAGCTCACGAATTGTGCTGAAGTTCTTAGATGATACATTTCGAGGCTGCATCGATTTCTTAGCTGCCAGGTTCTGAAGTGCGGGCGCTAACTGCTGTACTACTGCTGCTGTGTAGCTCGACACGGTCACTTTTTCGTGTGTCGTACGCTCCTCCTCAGCTGTTTCTGAGCTCTGGCTGGGTTTATGCTGCGGCGGGCTCGCGATGTATCGACAGAAGTGGATTTCGCGGTTGCGGAACTATGTGGTATACAGACCAGAGTGGACTGCTGGTCCCATCCTGCTGTGGACGTGCGATACGCATCGGTTGTGCAGCTCCCGGCGGCCAAATTCAAGATTATGCTTCGATTCGGTGCCCCGCTCGAAAGTGCGGCGTGATTGACGAAATTGCTCGAAAATAGACAACAAGACGCGAAGTGGCGTCAAGTTATAAAGCGGCCGCCTGATTGACGGACGCCAAGTTACATCTGTCCCTCCATTTTCCCGCGGTATCGTACGCACCAGCACGTCATGTATGCGTAACCTCTCCGTGTAACTCGCACTCTCGTACGCCATGGTGTTAACCATTCGACTCGCTTGCTAATTTATTAAGTACAGTCGTCCCCGCTTTAAAGACACTCTTCTACAGGAAACTCCCCGCTATAAAGACACATTTTTCCCCAGAACATGGTGCCCCGCAGATGTACAATAATATAGGGGGGTAGCGTTTCCACTATGCGGTCCCCCCCAAAAATTTTGCTGGGGCAGCAAAACTGTAAGGCATTGTAACATCGACAGCGGTCTGCTGCAGCCCGCACTACTGCGTGTGGGTATGGAGAGATTCCTCCCATCTGCTGGCGGGTCGTCGGCTGCCGGCTTGAGGCCGTGTGGCGAACCCACGTGCCAGCAAAAGTCTCAACTCGTGTCATTGTTTGGGATTTTTTCGCCGTTCTCGTGGAGTTAAATTTTGGCATTTTTTGTTTTGTGTTTTTGCCTCGTGTTGACCTTTGGGGAAGAGCGGTGTTCTCTTTTCGGTGGGTTTGCCCGATTTTTTGTATGTTGTGGTCTGCGCTACCGACCGTTTCCTAGTGTCCCTCAGATCCCTCTAAGGGGTCGACTGGGTTTGTTTGGTCCCTATGTGGCAGGTAACTTGCGTGTATCGTATCAGAGCTAGTTTCAACAAACTGATGTGTCTCAGGTGTGTTCGCGATATCACGGGCATGATGTTCACCGTGAGGACAACGCCTTGACAATGAGAAAAGTCTACATCAACACCAGCGCACACTGCCGTACACATTACAATAGGTCGTGCTGTACTCCTTCCCGCGTTTCGGTGGTGGAGGGAAATTCAAAAATGTGTACAGTATTGGAGTACAGCAGCAGTAGTGTTGCGGCCTTCAATTGACGAGTTGTCGCAGTTTTTAAGCAGCACAATTTCGTGGTCGCATTCCTGCTTCAAATGCGCGTATTTTGACACATGTTACACCTCCATTGACCCCGGGGACGGTGAGTTAGTGGCCCCGGAATCCTAAAGACACTTCCCCGCGTTGAAGACACTAAAAAAAAAAAAACGCGGTGTGTCTTTAAAGCGGGGTCGTCTGTATGTACTAAGTGTCTTCAAGCATACATGTAAATAAAACCAATAACTATTTCGAAAAGAAAGTCTACTCTTTTTTTTTTCTTCTTAATATGACACAACGAGTCCATCTCTATCATAGAAAAGAGTCAGAGACAATGGAATCATAGCGTCAGAGAAAACTACGTGTGTGTCAACGATTTCCCAGACAGCATATAGGGACATCTCCCCTGTGGGTAACAGGCTCAACAAATCAGTTTGGTAGCTGTCTTGTGTGTCTCATATATGTTATGTTGGGAAGGTGCAGACGAGAGGTGTTGGGTACTGTTGGTAAGTCGGGCGTTTTGTGTGTGGCACCCTGTTAGTTGTAGGACATACAGTCTCCATCAGTTTACATAGAATACTAGTATCTGACTCCACTACTGCCCATGCCGTGAGCGTTGGTGCGGTGCGTGAAGCTTGCCCACGTGAACCCGGGGGGGAACTGAAGATTGTGCAGAACGGGTTGGGCGCCGACGAAAGAAGCGGGGTACACAACCGCATATGCAGCAGCGCCATTCTAGGCAGAAGAGCATACATCATGTTTTTTCATGGCAAAAGAAGAGACCACCACGCAGCAGCTGTTCTGGCCCTCTGCTGCAGGGGCACCTTCGAGAAACCCCCCCATGGGCCCAAAGCGTCCAGCACCAGCATCGGCTACATTTTGTTCCGGCCCTGTCTCGTGGCAGAGTATGTAGGGTAGCATACATAGATCTGTTTATCTTCGTACATCAATCGCCCCTGAGGTTGCATGTGCGCACGTGATGCACACGGCCAAGTCAAGCGCAGAATACTTCAGCGGGACACATGGACACACGGAGCTGGAAAAATATATGTCACAAGCAACAACAGCAGGGTCTCACCGGATTTGCTCCATTTTCCTCCACCGCTGGAAGCCCTGTTGTTGACCCGCCGATTATCTCCCGGCTATGGTCTTGCCTTTGGAGGGGCATCCTAATCATTGTTCCGTAGAGGTACACGGTAATTAGCAGTAAGCACGGCAGGCGGGGCTCCCTCCCGCAGGTTATCTCCGGCTCTCTGTCTCTCCAAGCTTCAACAGCCGGGAAGGGAGAGCTCTGCGTTTGAAGTCAAGAAAACGGGGCGCTACTACACTGCCTTTTCTTGCGCTTCTTCCTCGCGATCTCTCCCGCTTTATCGCTTCCGCCAGCTCTTCCGCCGCAATGGTGTGATCGGGAAGGAAATCTATCGTACGTGCGTGAGAGATGGGGGGGCTTTCATCCCTTGCTGCGTTCGTCCCGCTGCCACCGAAGTTACAATGGTTGGTCACCCTAGAAAGATTCGTTGGGGGATGTCCCCCCCTGCCGGCGTCTCTCCTTTCTCCTGAAGCCCTTACTCTCTCGAGCGAGGGTGCATGTGATGAGGCCTCTCCTGTGTGTCGGACTGCGGAACGTCTTGCGAGGTACCGCCTAAGAGTGCGTGCTGGGAGTCATATGGTGTTGTGACACGCGGTGGCACATCCCCTGCTGTGCTGTCCCCATGATCCCGGGGTGTTGCTCTTCACCTTCGGGATACCCCATACTGCCGACCGCGTGCCCCCTCGGGCCGAGCTCCTGCTCTCCTGCGGTGCTCTGTTCAGGGCTGCCATCTGCTGCTGTCTTGTAACACACATACATAGCGGCGTGAGCGAGCGGGAATGGCGGAGACTAAGGCACACGACGCAAGCAGGAACAATGTGGTGGTCAAGGTGCAATAGGTTTTCAGTGCTGTGACACTTGGGTTCGAGGCCTTTGCCTCAATTATAGAGAGATGTTTCTTAGGAGAGGCGAGATTGCGCTAGGGACGTCAGACAGATATTGTTGTGTGTGTGTGCCCGCGGGCGGACTTGTCCTGATTGGTTGCAGCAGAGATTCTATCGGTGTATCTACGTGGGGGCGAGAAGCACGGGTTCTGGACGCAGGAGCTAGCTGCGAAGTTTTTTCGGTCCCATTGTCACAGAGAGTGGTCTCCTCTATTTGAAAAATCTCTACTTCATAATGCTGAAGCACCACTCAATACCCCAGGGCCGGCCGCTGCCTTCTGTCGCACATCACATCCCCCACCAACAAGGCCCTTGAAAAAAGTGAGCTGTGTCATCATGTATGCGTGTTGTTGGGCCCGTCGCCTAGTAACTGCCCCTTTTCATAGTGGTTCCCTCGCCAACTTTCGCTGTGACTCTCGCGAAATAATTGGTTGGATTGCGATCAGAAGTTTGCTGATGTTGTATTTGTCTGGCTACACTCTACAGCGGTAAAACGGGCATCCCCTCCATGCCGCCCCTCCGCATCCCGAGAGCCGACTCAGCCTTGGAAAAGGATCAGAATGTCAGCACGCTAGTGGTAGTTGAACCCATCACCCAACCACCGTTCTAAAAATCGCGGTATTCCAAGGACAAATGAACCGCACACAATGACGCGCCGGATATATACATATTCCCGCGATGTATGTACGGTACACCTGCAGGACACGGCGCTTGCGTCAACGGATCGTGGTCTGCCTTTGTAACAGGGAACGAACTTACTCCGAAGTAAAAGCGATATACACCGCCGGTGACCCCCTTCATCCGGCAAAGTGCACTATATATGCCTTAGGTCGGGACGTGAGTTCGGATCTCGGCACAGTGTCACGCACTTGGTGGTTTGCAGCTCTCATCGTTCACGTAGACTTGTGCGAACCACAGCGTTGATGGTTTCGTGGGGTTGTATTGCACACGAACGCTGAGGTCACGGTCGACAAGGAATTTGGACGGCTGAAAGAATCTTGCTATGAACATCAAGCAAGGCAAGCATCGGGGCCCCCGAGAGAGAAGCACAACCTTCGGTAGTCTGCCTCCTGCGTGACCCCGCTCGTTTATCCTTATCCATATAGACTATAATGTCCCGAAGCGGAATGCGACCACATGCAAATCGTAAGCACCTGTGCAATCGTATGGGTAAGAGCTACATTGCTACTACCGCCACTGCAGAGGAACAGACCACGGCCATGCAGCCATGGCCAAAGGAAAATCAAGCTGTGTAGACGTTTTTTTCTGGGAACCAATTTCGATTTGTTGTCCCCATTTTTTTTCGGCCCGCGGGTGGTTCTAGACTACGGCATCATTGTAGCGAAAGGGTGCTGACGGGAAGCATGCGCGATTGCTGTGGTGCGTTCCATAACCCTCGGGGGTTCATGCAGCACGCGCAGGAGCAACAGATGTAGGGGTGCCCTCAGACAGGAGCTCGCAGCGGCATGTCAACTGACACGACGACGAGGACCGCCTTCGTCTTGACTGATGGTTGATCTCCTTATCGCTCGCGACAGCGCAGGTGCTCCCGTCGGCGCCACCCGGTACTTTTCCTGTGGGTGCTCGTGCTTGACACTCACACCGCGTACACGGTAGATCTAATTGCTCGCAGGGCGTTTTATGTATGACACTTTTCTGCATCATAGGTAGGCATGGTGGGGGATGCACAGGTCGGGAAAACCACGCTAATGGTCAAGTACGTCGAGAACAAGTTCGACGAGGAGTACATCATGACATTGGGTGAGCGGGAGAGCAAGCGGCGCTGACTTCATGGGTAAACAAACTCGTTGCAATTTTGCGCGCCAGTCTTCTGCCATTGCTGCTGTGCAGGCGTGTGCGGCGGGCAGGCTCATTTGCTGCTGCATTGGGAGGTTTAGTTAGCCATTTTGTGCTCCGTTGACGATTGATGTCGGCATTGCGGTTTGCGCATCAAGGGCGTGCGGCGCAGCACTATAGGGTAGCTAGCATTGGGGTGGGAATCGCTGCTCACTAATTGCGTGCATGTTGGTTCAACGTTAGTGTGTGTGATATCCCGAAGTTTCGAGTCTTGTCCGTCATGCTGTTCTACGGTTGTACGGTAGCAAAGAATGCCGTGTCAGACCTCTGTGGAACTACACTATGCTGGCATTGTACGCATTCTCGGAGTGGTTCATTGCTCACTGGAAATTTTGCGTTTTCGAGTTGCCCCCAGTTGTCTACGCCTATTTATTGCGCCACCTACGTTGTAGCAGTGACGGTCAAACGACGATTATTTCAGCACCTTGCTCTTGGTCTACGTAGCTACGAGAGCGGGCGGTTCTTCCAAGGCGTTCGCCGACAAAATCCTGGCGTTGTTGTTTCGTATTCCTCTTGTTTGAGCGTTCGTGCTGGAGAGTTTTTCTCGCGAGCTCACTGCAGGGTTCTACGGGGAATGAGTTGTGGGTTTTGCCGTAAGATGACGATGGCTTTGGCCGTTGTTCACGATGCTTGTTCAATTTTTATGTGGAGTACAACGTTGCTTTTGCGTGTATGGTTGGAGCTTCGTTCGCTTCTTGGCTCAAAAACATGGCGAAAATATGAAAAATGATGCACGAACGAACTGCCTTTCCCGGGCAATCATCCCCGTCGCTGCTGCTGTCTTACCTCGCTGTCCTCCGCGTGCATGTCAATCGATCCGCGCTCCAGGCGTTAACTTTATGGAAAAGACCATCACACTCAGGAATACCGAAATTACGTTCAGTATTTGGGATTTGGGCGGGCAGCGGGAATTCCTGAGCATGCTTCCTCTGGTAAGCGTGAGGACGGCTTATCAGTAGGTTTTTGGTGTTTCTCGATTCAGCTCATCAAGTGTAAGCCCGCTGCACTTGAATTCGCCCGCTGGAGCGGGCGATTGAAACGTGCCGCCGGTCCATGTCGACCGAATCCAGGGGCCAACCACTTCTTCCGACCCTGCATGCGCTACTTTTTGTATGTAGCCGTTCACTCTCTTGATTACCCACACCAGTGCATGTCTCCTGTTGCCACGACCCCGCCGCCGTGGCTTTCGTGATCAGGTATGTAACGATGCGGTGGCTATCTTTTTCATGTTCGACCTTTCCCGGAAGAGCACGCTCAACTCGGTCAAGGAGTGGTACCGACAGGTGAGATATATGATTAAGAGAGAGCAACCGACGGATGGGACAGATGACCAGTTCACCGAGGGGCATGCCGTATGGGGCGGGGAGATTGCACCCCCCTAGACCAATGTTCGAAACTCGATTACTCCAGAACGGAGCTTGCACCAACACATGAAATCGTGGTTTTAGAAACATCTCATAGAGGGCTTTCCGTAGACGCATGGGGCTCTTTCCGTGCCCACTTGGTTGTGGAGGAATGGAGCTTTGAACGTCGGTCTGGGGGGGGTGCCGTCTCTCCGCCTCCTACGGTGCTTTCCCTAACCGTAACCCTTACCCCTTGGTGAGCAAATCAGGGCTCATCTACACGTGATAAGATCAGTCAAAGAGGACCATTGACAGATGAACCAAGGAGTGGTAGCGGTGGATGTAACGGATATGTCCCGTACGGCACCGGCAGATGTAGCAGAGAAGTAGCGGCCAAATAGGACACCAAACTTGTGTTCAGGTTCACATCGCGGTTACTGCTTCTTTCGATTATGTGTGTTGGTGGTATGGGCATCCATGGTGATGGTCATACCACCCAAAAAGCTCAAATCTTGCCGTTCTGTGGATCGAGGACATGTACGGTGTAGCCTTTGACCCGATCATCACAGTTGCCCAATAATACTCGTGGCGAATCCTATCGCCTTTTCCTTACCCTGGGTGTATTGGGACTCTTCGCTGGCTTGTCTGTATGGGATGCGGGGCTGTGGGAAAATTTGAATTGAAGGTGCGAGGGCTCAACCGGAGTGCGTACGCGTTCCTCGTGGGGACAAAGTACGACCTGTACACGTCAATGCCTGCCGAAGAGCAACGAGATATCGACAAACAGGTATGTTTATTTTCATTTGTTGTGGTTGCTGGTTCGGTTGGTTTAACGGTTGCGGTGGCTGTTGTGGTGGTGACTGTTGATGTCGTCGTTGTTGTTGCTGCTATTGTGCACGTTTAGTTTTGGGTTTTGCATGTGAATGGTGCGTCCATCTCTTCGGCAACGTGCACCTTGTCCCTGAAGCATTTGGTTCGCGTTGTCTACATTTCTTTGGTGTCGTTCTCCATCCTTGCTTTGTTCACCGTCCTCTCTCCATTCGGCCCCCTTTCGTGAAACCCTTCCCCAGGCACGCAAGTTCGCGAAGGCAATGCACGCGCCACTGATATTCACGTCGGCATCTCACTCCATCAACGTTCAGAAGGCAAGGACAGGAGTCGTTTGTAGCAGTCGATGTTGATTGCATTGGGGGGCGGTCTGTTCGCGAACTATGTTGACGGGCCCCCGCGGTTTCTCACATGCCACTTCCGATGTCGTGTAAACACTTGCCGCTTCGCGAAAGAAACGTGAGAAGAAGGATGTCCCTACGGAGAACCCCGTGTCCGCGCATGCACACAGCGTACGTGCCTCACCCATGCGATACCCTCCATATGCCTTACGCCTAAGCTTTGAAACCCGTGAAACTGCAGTAGCCCGTTTCTGCTCGTCCGCTGAGGAGTACTGTAGGAGCGTCAACAGCTGTCCGCAGTCAAGCCTCGCCCTGGTAGTAGGTCCCCACGCTTGTCTGCCTTGACCGCAGAGGCTGTGGTGCGGCCATAGAACAAGGATGCGCGTCGCCAAGTTTGCGTCTGCCGCACTTGCGGCAGAATCTCAACCCTCCACCTGACACACTGCGTCCTCCATGTTCGCGCTTTGTGTTTCATTCGCCGACGGAAAACAAAAAAACGTGATATTCCGATCGCACAGATGTTCAAGGTGGTTTTGTCTAGGGTGTTCGACTTGAGGTGCAACCTGGACGAGATATCTGGTGCAGGGGAGCCGCTGCTGCTGTTCTCGAAGGAAGAAGGGGAGGCCGCCGCGAGCAAGGCCAAGAAAGCATCATCATCTTCGTCGTCATCGCCGACGGAAGGGGCAGCAGACGCCCGGAAAGGGGCCGCGAAGTAGACGATAAGTAGATAGGCGGGCTCGACAGAAGGAAAGACACGGACGGGAGGTGTTGAGTTGGCTGCGGGGATGTGATCGAGCGTCTGCTGGCCTGTGTTGCTGGCAACCTTGGGATGAAGGAAGGTGCGCAACTGACTCATGCCGCGTATCCGGGGAAGAGCCAGAGCCGCGGCCGCGATGACGCGGTTTGCTGATTAGAGAAGGGCGTTGGCTGGGATGGCTGTAACACGTGACGTCGGTTTGTGTTTCGTTCTGGCGAACTAGCCTGTGCTGCGGCCGCTGTAGATGCGATTCTGCACATCCTCGAATTCTGACTGCATGTCGCGGTCGCTGTTGGCGCCTGGCCTGCAGCAGTAGGACTCGCTTGACAAATTGCTTCACAGGAATAGACGACCTGTGTTTGATCGTTAGCGTTTCGCGTCCGATGCCCTACGGGTGTAGTAACGGAGGTCTGCCCTTGCCGGCGGGGGGCTGTGTCTACAAGGGGCGTGTACAAGGTGCACCCTTTTGTCGACCACATTGGGTGTTTCGCATGCATGTGGTCATCCCATTGCTGTTGGGTTTTGACGGAGTTATCCTGGTAGAATTGGAAAATCGTCTCACGGTTTTGTTCTGCCTCGTGGTCTCAGCGCGGTTCTGGGGGTCATGTTGAGCATTTTGAGCGGCAGCGAGATTTTGTCGTGCAACCCGCTATCACTTGGGAAGCGCGAGTTCTCACGATCCCAGTCAGCTAGTGCCGGTAAATATGAGTGGTTTTGGGCTTGTTGTAGTTGGCATGTTGAAGCCCCGTCCAGTGTTTTTGCGCTACCGCGTGTTCGTTGTTTTTGAACCCTTTCCTAACGAGGTCAGTTCCCCCCCATCCTGCATTCCGTCGCAGAGATGCCGAAGGGTAGTCTTTTGGTCGGCGCCGCTTTGCCTGCAGAACCAATCTTGTGGTGTCCGCTCCTTTCTTCGTCTTGGCGGCAGTAGAAGCTACAGTTGTTGTTGTGTGGGTGCATGCACACATTCTATCCGCCCGATCACAAAGCAATCATCCCGTGCCTTTCCTTTTTTTGGTCGTTATTCGGGGACTCTCACGTCTGCCGTGTGGAGACGGATCAAGGGTGTAATGATCTTGCTTCGTTTTTGGGGGGCCGGGAGAGTGAGGCTCCTGTTGCGTGTAGAGTAAATTGGCCTCACCTCTCCGTTCTAGGTATATATCCGTGTGTAGTCCGGGAAATGTGGGAGGCTCGTGGTGTCGTGGAAGCTTCTCCTGCGAAGTCAGGCCGGTGCAGCCACTTAAATAGCAAGCTTAACGTATATGTTCGTTCGTGTTCGTAAGGATGGATGTCTCTGAACGCGACATGATATCGTCACAACCGCAGTTGGTATGCATAGCGTAAAAGTTAATATGTCTGTACATTGTCTCCCGTGGTAAAAATATGCATGACTTTCTCGTGAAACGGCCATCGTGGGAGCGCGCTAAGCGCCTCGTTGATGGTGTTTCAAAGCACAGTGTGTCGCGTCCGCCGCCGATGCTGCCACCAACACCTCCGCCGCGCCCACGCCGATACCTCGCCGCCCCTCCGTATTCCAAACTCCAGTTGGCCCCGTCATGGTGCGCCCATAATAGCGACTGGCCTGCTCGTCTCCGCTGCGTGGTACTTGTGTTGCCCGCTTCTGTCGTATCTGCCCTCGGGCATGAGGAGGCGGGCATATAAAGCACCCGAAACAGCTGCCAACCTCCATCCGACCGAGAATCAAGAGTGGACGGAGGAGGCATCGCCCGCGACTTGCCCAGGCTTTTGTCCCCATCCCCCTTGCACGGTTGTTGTACCGCCCCTGTCCCTTCTCTAGTGTTTATCGGGGTCGATGCTGTCAGCGAAAGAGAGGTCCCAAAAGCCATCGGGGGTTTCCGCCGGCCGGCCGTTCGCCTCGGTGTACTTGTGCCTGGGAGGCAGTGTGGAAAAACGTCAGGAATTGCGGAGGAAAGGAAGCAACACAAAGGTGAACGGGCACAGTAATCAACCGTACCTGGACACACACAAGCAAGCCGACTGCTTGTGCCCCCCAAAAAGCACATCTCAGCAAACCGCGGAGGAGAGCATCATGCACCATGACAAGACATAGCAGACAAGCACATGCGAAACTTAGCGCAATGCGGAGAATAGACCAATCTCTTACCGACAGATAGAGGGCGGGCGAGCGCTCGACGCAGGGAATATACTCGACGACAGGATGCCAAACCGAAGGACACCTTGCCCTCAAAAAGAAGTTGTGACGTGTTGTCTCCCACAAGGTTTCAAGCCACACCGCATGCGTGTCGGCACATAAGTTAGGTAGGGCATCCAATTCTCCGCCAAAAAAAACGTGTTGACTTCAAAGTCGCAGGATACTTGGCACCCGACACTCTTCGTAAGAGAAGCAGTACTTCCACTGTCGAGGTGTACTACTTCACCCGAGAAGTCATTTTTCGTGAAAAACTGTTCTTGTTTTGGCCATGTTGTCCCTTGCACTGCGGGCCGCAACCGGGAAACACATTGGCCTGTTCCAGACAGCTAATGCCTAATCGCGCACAATTTAGTGGACACCGAGGACTTGAAGGTGATACCGTTTTTTCTTCAAGGCGACGACCCAAACGTATCGGGTCTGTGTCCTGCGTCGTGGTACACTTTACAGTCCCTGAGCGCAGTATCCCAGACTGTGGTATCTAACAAACAAAGAATCTTCAGGCGGAAAGTACCTCGAGATTACGCCATCTGTACAGTTTCGAAAAAATAATCCGAAAAACTATTTTCTGTAGCGTTACACTCATGCGTACTTGTGATCGGGCAGGACCCTGGGTTGTAGAAAGGTGCATACACGACGTCCGCACTCTACGGTAAACAAAACACGGTGTGCACAGCAGACGTACAGATGTAGTAGCTTTTGTATGCGCAACGTACAGTTCTGGGGTTTACGAAAACAGTCCGGGGGCTACAGCACGAGCAAACCTGGCTCGCGTTAAACATACCGTGAGCACAAATTGAGAATCGCCTCTCGCTCTCCTGGAGACCCCCCCACCGCCGCTAGGTACGCTGCACAGTGCTCGCAGTCGTGTCCTTTCATCATCGCTCTTCTGGATCGGTCTCTGACCACCTGCCCAAACCAGATGAGGAAAATTCGGTGGAATGCAAGGAGCAGCGATGAGGAAAACTCGGTGGGTTGCAAGGAGGGGCGGAAACATCGACAAAACGGTCGAAGCACCACCACGAAAAAGTTGAGATGGATGGTCCTCTGATATCGACCCTGTCCTTGTTATCAACCGAGCTGTTCACATATCGGCATACGCCCTAAACTCGTGTCTCCTGCCATCGTGCATTTCCCACGCCTCACGGAAGAGTCAGCTTCCCACCTCCTGGAACTTGTAGTTGGGCGGCTTGTCATCACGGGCCCGTTTTCCTCCTCCTCGGCCCGCCCCCCCCCGGCTGGTCACCCCGGCCGTCGCATAGGGATTGGCTACAACCTGATGCCTTGCCACAGCCGTAGCCACCGCAGCCGCCCGATTGTTGCTGGAAGAACCTACCCGTTCCCTGCTGCCAACCTCTTCCCCCGGGGTGTCGATCTTTGTGGGTTTTGACAATCGTCGCTGGTGTGAGGCGCCCTCGTCAGAATGTTCCGGGGGGGCGGGCTTTTCGTTTCCGGCGTTCCCTTCCACGGGAAGTTCATCGTTTCGTGCACCGGCATTCCCAATGCCATCACTACCGCGGGCCCCGCTTCCGTCGTTTGCCTCCAACAGGCGAGACGGTGAGGGGAGCCGCCCGACTTCTCCGAGCCTGCCGCCGAAAGCAGCACCATCACCACCACCATCGCCAACCACTGGGCCACCCTTGCGTCGCATATAGCCCTGACGATCGGCTCCAGCGGAAGAAACAACCATGGCATCTTGCTGGTGCTGGTGCTGGTGCAGGTGCTGGTGCTGCCGTCGTTTCCCGGGCTTCTTCTTGCTGGGGCTGTTGACAGCGGCCATAGTCAACCGAGGGTAAACCACGTCATGGCCGGTTGAAGAGGCTGTGCCCGCATCACTACCGCCGCCGCCATCGTCACCATCAGCGACGACCCGTTCTCCTTCTAACCCTTCCCGCATCGCCGCTGTCTCAAACGTGCCCTTATTTTTTCGTCCGAGCTGGTCGAGATCGCGATGCAAACGCGCCTCATGTTTTTGCACGTGGTCCGAGTCGGATCTGTCTTGGGAGATGCGGATCGACGAGACTGTCGAAGACGATGCCGACGACGAGCTACCTCCCATTGCGCCTTGCTGGTCCAAAGTGGGTTGCGGCGGATCCTGCTGATGTGAGGTCTGCTTCGTGGGTAGTCGCTGGTGCTTCCCCGTTACCTGCATCCCACCCGGCCGCCCACCTTCTCCCAATCCCCCGACACCCGCCCTGCTACCGACACCGTCGCGCGAAGACCCAATCCTCTCCGCTGCCAATAGGGCTCCCGGAAAGGTCTGAATACCATCAGAGTTTCCGCCCGGCCTTGCTCCCGCGGTGGGGCCATCCAAAATAGGCTGCTCCCTACTCTTCGCTTTCGACGTCGGCGCTTTGTCCAGCGCCTTCACTGCGTTCCTCGAAGAATGGCCCCGCCGGGAGTCGGGCGAAGCGCGCCCAGTCCGTGCCGCTGACGAACGTGGCCGCGGAGCCTCCAGAACCTCCGTGATTTCCACGGCACGGCCGCCGGAGGTATACGGCCCCTCTTCGGCCCCACCCCCGAGTGACAGCCTTGATCTTTTCCTTCCCGACGAGGATGAGCAGAACGATTTCGACGTCGAAGAGTGAACAGAGGCGAGTCGAGCCGCTTGGTGGGGATCAGTGAGTGCAGAGTCGACGGCAGCGACGGCGACTCTTGGAATGAGGTGGTTCGAGGGTGCCGATGACGTCTGCTCGGAGGGCGGGGGTGGCGATGGTGGGGCGGCGTATTCCCGGCGACCGGTATCGTTGATGGGGGCACGGGGTGACAAAGTAGCACTGTTGTTTCTGCCACTCCTCCCGTGTCTACCACTGCCGCAGCTGTCGCTTGACCTGCTGCGGTCTCTTCGGATTCCCCTGCGTTCTCCCGAGGGAAGGCCTTGTCCGTCGTGGGGTCCATGAGGAGAAGCGCGGTGGCGTGAGTCATAGCCAGGGAGGGCTTCGTCGTCACGTACGCTCGCATCTTTGCATTCCTCTTCCAGCGGGCTACTCTCGACCCTTCCGGAACCGCGCGTCTGTCCGCCCCCTCCACCCGTGTGGCCGCCTTTGCCACCACCACGGGGGGCCGCCTCGACCATTCCCGACCCTTGCCGAATCGTGTGGGCTGCTTTGGCCGCCTCCGTTGCCAGACGCCACCCCCCTTGGCCCACGGCCTCCGAGTGATTTCGCGTTGACGCTGCTGTCACTGCAGGCGGCGGTTCGTGGTCTTCACCGGGAGCCGTACTCCGCGGCGTGACGACCTCGTCGGTATCGCTGTACTCGCTTCGTCGCCGTCGCCGTCGGTGCGTGCTGGCGTTGCTACCGCGGCCGGGGGCGATAGTCTCAGCCGGGCGATGGCGGGGGTTGGGTACAACGATGCTCTGGATGCCACCTTCGAGTTGCACCGACGATGATGCTGCTTCTTGGGGCTTCTGATCAACCGCCGCCGGCCTCTTGCTGTTGTTGCTGTTGCCGAAGGTGGCTGAGTTGGGGTTGATGTCACCAAGCAATTCGCGCTCCACGGTAGCCTTGAGCTTGCGGTTCCGCTCCGCCAACGCCTCGATCTGTGTCCGCACCTCAAGGTTCCGCGCATCAAGCCTGGCGTTTCGTGCAAGCAGGTCCGCTTTCTCGTCCCTGAGGCGCGATGATTCGCGTGCAAGCTGCTCGTTCTCGCGCTTGGCGTCACCGACAACGCGGGCCAGCCTCTTGTTTTCTTTCTTCAGCATGTGCATGTGGCTGCTTGCGACGAGAGCAAAACAATGCCACGCACAAGCGGAGGTCATCGCATTGGCTTGGTTTTCTGGCGGTACTATGGCGTGTTGTAGTGTCAGAGACCGTTCGGACATGATGAGAGGGTCGGCCTTCCTGTCTCGCTGTGGTTTTCGAGCTCGCACGGTATCGTACAAATGCAGATCATCGTACGTTGCACATGTCCCATGGTTCGTAGGGGACGTCACCATTTGCGGCATGTAAGCCCTAGGATTTACACCAAAGTCTGCGCAAAAGTTGTGTTGTACTGCCTCGAGATGGTGACGCCAAGGCCGGCACACATGCAGAGGCACATGCGTTTCCGATTGTTTTGATCCCAATCACGCAGCGTATGTACAACACGAGTATTCGAACTGCGCTCAACCTTGTGTAGCCGCGAAGAGCTTGCGCCCGTTGTACACATGCAAGACCATCCGTTCCCATCAACACTCTCTATCGGGAACCTGCTGCGCGCGTTGATACACATGTATTCCGGAGGTTCGCAGGGGAGAAGACGTACCTCTCCTTGTAGCCCAGGCTGGCTTCCAGCGCCGCCCGTTCCTTGGCCCATTTCTCTCTCTCCGAGTGCCAACTGCGAAACGCAGGTTAGCATTGATTTGCACATGGTACGCATACAATGGCCAATTGAAAGCGTCAAACAGGAGTGTGTGTTTATTGATTCCCAGCGCTTTTCTACGCGTACGCCACTAACGGTCAGGCATATGCAAAGAGAATGCCGCGAGGTCGCTATCTTCGTTAACACGGCATCAGTTACGGCGGTTATGATGATAGCGGCTGACGGCATGTATGTGTGAGATCCTATCAGCGGGGGGGGAGGCTGCGCAAACAACGTAAGCAAGAAAAACCATACCAGTGCAAATGAGCTACTTACTCATCGCTATCCTTCTCCAGTGCATAGGCCAGGTCGCGGATTGCTTTTTGAGACGCCGACAGCAGCAGGTGCCCTCCTTCTCCTCCTCCTCCTCCTCCTCCTCCTCCTCCTTGCTCGTGTTGTGGTTGCCGCTGATCTCTGCCTTGGTTCTCTCCGACTCCGTTCAAACCATGGATGTTTTGCAAAGCACTCATCTTTGAGGCGGCGACCAAATATGGCGAGGATTGAGAATGCTATTCACGACCATGAGTTGAACAACGTTTCGACGCCATCTGCGGTCGACCAATCCCTCTCTGCCACTTCTTGCGGTTTGCGTGTTGGCAGCAGAACCTACGAGAGGGCGGCAGCCGTTGTTGTTTTGAATTGCAGGCAGGCACGCAGAACACGTCGCCCGAGGACTGACCGTTCAATTTCCAGCCTTCGTGCCTCCAGCAATTAGCAAAGCTTCTCCCTTCACACAATACGTGCTGCTTCAAGCGAGCACGTCGAGTAACGACTCTAGACGGAGATAGAGGACACAGCACACACAACACAGAACTACGAATTCGTCCCTGGGGGGTACATAAATAGGACAATATGGGACCTACGTATGGAGTTCCAAAGCAACTCGGATGTTTGGCGGTTTCATTTTTTCACTCGAATAATCCGCCAACCCGACTACCGTATTATATGTAGTGCGCACATGCGCACACATTGCTTGCTTGTATCAGCATGCCTCTGCCGTACGCTACATCAATCTACGTCTCGCTCCCATGTCCGAAATTCCCGCCTCGTGGGTTCGGCACGATGGCACGTATGTGCATGATGGTGTCGCAGCAAGGAGCGACTGGTCGAACGATGTTGGCAGTTCTACGGAGGAAAACAACTACTACAACGCGCAAGGCCAAAGTGAGTCACCAGAGGCAACCGAATTTCAAAAATAACGTAGCGCTCACAAGTTCGTCGAATGCTCCGACCGGGGGGCTAGGTATGATCATTGATCGGTAGCTCTGGGTGCCCAAAGTTCTTTGGAGATACTGCTGTTTACACACAAGACTTGTAGTCGACGGTCATCTTTATGCTAGATTTTGAATTGATTGTGCTGGCTGTTATTCATATCCGTGAAGCCAAAATCGAGGGATGGCTCCTTTTGCATACGCAAGAAAACACAGATGCGGGCACATGTTTCTCTGGCTCATAAGGATCGATTGCTTTCTTTCTGTGCAGAAATACTGCAGATAGACTCGTCTAGGTGCCCATCGGAAAATAACGCCCATCGATTGATCATTTATTCGAGGCAGCAAACTCCGACTTTACGACTTCATCATATGGTCCGTTCTGGCAAATATTCACAATCTTGTTTTTCGCGATATCTTTCGAAAAAAAACGATTTGGAAAGTGAAACAACTTTGGGCGTGACCGCGGCGTCGAACTTTGTCGATATCCGATGAGTTTTTGGTGATTGGGTGAAATGCGACATTTTTTACCAAAATGACCCACGGAGCCCCCACCCCCCCACGCCCTCATGACACCACGGAGCCCCCAAAGTACACCACGACCCCCCCTCAACCCCTCCCTTCTACACGTATATGCCTTCAGAACATCAGTTAAACCGTTGTCAATCCATATTTACATTATTTACACGTTACATATGTACATACATACATACAATACCGCCGTTTACTTTCTACTCAACCCCTGACTGGTGAAGGTGCTGCAAACAAAGCATGCAGCAATCACATCCGTTCTCTCTGAGCAAGTCCGATACCAAGAGAGACAGCTATAGCGTTGAGTTGGTGACCATGACGAACGCCTCTACCGCGCCTAAACGCGAGAAACCAACACTACAACACACCGCGACATATAGATACGTACCCTCCCCACTCACGCCTGAGCGTGCCCGCCCAACCATTTCCTCAAAAAATTCATCGTGATGCGCAAAATCCACAGCCGTAGCTGCTCCTTCCGGGAGGCTCTCTTGCTCGTCCACGTGTTGAAGGCTTCCCTGGTCGCTGCCACCGACTTCTTGCGCACTTCCTGCGCAGCCGCAAGCGCCTTCGCCTCGGCTGCCTTCTTCTGCTCCGGCGTCTTCCCCGCCCCCCTCGCCTGAATCACGGCATCTCCCCTGGCGGTGGCTTCTCGGTGCTTCCCCCACTCCTTGAGATCGCGGTACTCGAGGTAGTCCTCCAGGCCCTCGTCGTAGGCTTCGATGTACAGCCACGTCACCCTGCTCCATGCGCGGATAAACCGTGCGGGTACGCCGCTCAACGCGCCGGGCAAGACCTGGAGCATGTGGCGAAGGGAATACTCGCAGTGGAGGCGGAGGAGGTGCTTGATGTACCCCCAGTATCGCTCGATTGCGTTGAGCTCTGGGTGGTACTTCGGCAAGAAGATGCACAGGTGCCCGTGTGCCTTGAAGAGCTTCTCAACCATGTTGAGCTCCTCCCTGAACGCCTTGAGCTCAGACAGAACGCGCACGACGCAGCAGCGACGCCTCTTGCCTGCTTCACCAGCTGCCCCGCTCCCACCCGAGTCCCCGTCCTCTCCGCCGTCCTCCTCTCCCTGCCCCGTGTTGTCCACCACCTGCTGCCGCCCCTCTCCACCGCGGTTGAAGGCGGTAATGGCTTGCCTTGTTGCCGCCTTTTCCGCCCTGCACGCGCTGCACTCGTGAACGCGTAGGGTTGGCTCGCCTTCCCACAGCCCCATCTCCATGAGCAGCTGCTTTCCTCCTTTCGGCAGGCCGATGAGAACGGCGGTGGGGCCAGTCGTCGTCGTGGTCGTTGGTGTGCATGGGAGAAATATTGGCGCCTTCATGGTCGGAAGAGGGAGGAGAGTCGTTGCCTACAGCAGGGTCCGCAGGGGGCGAAGGGGCCTTCCGAATCGTGCCGTCGGCGTTCCTTGGCAGCTTGCGCTTACCCTTTGGGCGACCCATGTGCCCGGAGCGCGTGTGTGTCTTTCGTTGCGTGCGTAAAGGGTGTGTGTGTGTGTGTCCTCTGGTGTGTGTGTGGCGGGAAAAAATTCCCCGAGGGCGTGTGAAACCACCCGAAATATCTCCGAAACCCGAGTTTTTTTTTAAATCGGAAAAAAATCATCGGTGGGAAATCACGAGAGGAATCGATTGCAGCACTATATTTTTGAATCGTACGGTTGGATTGTCCCCAAGAAACTAAGCAAAATACCCTCCAATATCCGTTTTTTTGCCCATAACTCCGTTATCTTTTGTCAAATTGGAAATCGGAAAAAAATCATCGGTGGCAAATCACGAGAGCTGTCCAAATCCGGTCTCAGATTTCGTGTCTGCAAAAAACACCGCCCTCCAGAAAGTAAGCAAGATTTCTTGAATATCTGAACATATCGAGCGAAGAACGAAAAAAAAAAAAAACTCCGTACGAAGATGCGCCTTGAAACGTCGATTTACGCGGTATTTTCAGATTTCGGAATAGGTATCCCCACCCCGAGAAAAGTGCACCTTTGTGCAGGGGAAAATATTGTGGATATTTGCCCGAACGGACCATACAACACTTTTATTTCGCCCAACTTGCGATCAATTCTCTAGAGACGCAAGATATGGGAGTCGATGTGCGAAGGCCAGTATTCTGGTCCAGGTAAGAACGCGGGTTTTCGCAGCTATCCGTTGACCCCCCATATCGCCCTCGATGTGCCTTCTTGTTTTTTTCCACGTAACATTGCGCCAAACAGCGGCGTGTGATAATGGCGCTCATTCCTATGGCTATGATACAGGGGCGGCCTACAGTGCCCAAGATGGGAACAGCACCTGGCTAGAGAGTCCTTCGGTGAGTCATTAGCATCGCAAACGAATGGAGCAAGTCTACACGTGTTGAAATGCTGGTACTGCTCTTGGCCGCGCGGCTAAACCCCGCGGGCAACATGATTTAGGGGCAAAACGGTGCAGACGTAACATGATGACGACACGCACATGAAACACGGCATGTGTCTAGCTGGCTATATAAGCTTGTCGAAACATTTGTTGGACGCTCAGGATCTGCCTGCTCTCATAGGTCGGTTGAGCCACCTCCTACCACCTTCGGTTTGTTATTTGGGGACAGCAGTAGTGGGGCCTTCATTGGTAGGTGCTAGAGACATAGTCTACCACCCGTGATTTTGAACCACTTATTTTTTTTCGGTTTGGTGAAGGGAACCACATGCTAGTTTCGAGCCTATTAAGAGCACGACTGCTGTTGATGCCAGCGGGTTCTCTCACTCACACCTTGTACAAGGACTTCCAGGTTATCGTGGAGCCTGGTTGGCGCCGAGAGATTGCGAGCAAGCGCGTATGGCCTATGGTTGAGCAGTATGATCGAATAAAGTAAAACGCTCCTGCGTACGACTTGATAGTCTGATCACGTCCTAGCACGAAAAACGACAGCGTGTTTGGAGTTTTCGGCCAACGCAGGATCCTCACGGGTACCTTAAGGTAGTTTGGTATCCCATTGTTGACGTTGGTAAGCCACCCCATCACTTAACGGCGATACTTACGATCAGGATCTCGACTGGGAAAAGCAAGTCGCTAACGACGTGGAGGTCGCACCTGACGAGTGGCAGTGGGTCCAAAACTCTTCAACCGAGGGGTACTTCTACAACCCTGTTACGGTGAGATAGAATCTACCAGTAGATTGGATCAAGGGGCAACCCGAATATTATGCTCAGATTGTGTGTGTAGATATTGGTGGAAACTTTCATATTCTTTTCTCCGGTCGAGACACCCGCGCGGGTGGCATCACATGCGTGCCAGCACCATTTTTCTGTGCCGGTGACCACGTGCCAACGTGACAGGGTGCGGAAATCGTCTCATACGGGTGGTAGGAGCACACTTTCCTCAGACAACCCGCGTGCGCTTGGTATTCTGGTCAGGGAGAAGCACGCTGGGACGACCCGGCAGCTTTTGAAGAGGCCAATAGCCATGCGTTGGTCGAACGCGGGTACAACGATGCCTTAGCGACGGAAGGGGTTTCCATCCGGGAAACTCTGACGGAATACGACGGTAAGCGACGTGCACGCCACCAGCTTTGTCCGAAGCACAAGTATCGGCGACATGCCACGGGTGCAATTGTGTTTGGTCATGGCGGCTGTTCCGTGGCTTTTGGAACGCCATAGGTGTATACCTAATTCTATCACAAACGTAGCGGGCGACACGCAACTACACCGGTCGTATCACACACTTGGAGTGTGTTCACGGCATCTCTCCCGACAGGCCGAGGAAGTTACACCTTCACCGCAGACGACGGTACCGTGTGGAGCTACGATGAAGCCCTCGGAGACTACGTTCAACATCACGATGACCAGGTGACCAGGTGCAAGCTGCCACTTTCCGTCCCCAGCCACACTCCGGAGTTGAAGTCGGGAATCTCACCGTCAATGATTATGCTGCTTCGCCTGCAAGTCTCTTGTGGCGAAAACAACGGGCTGTGCTTCACCCCATCGATATGAAGTAGATTCTTCCTATGTGAGACACGACCTGCCCTCTGGTACACACAACACGGTGCAGGACAACAACACGAAAGAAACACCTGGTGCCGAAACATTTTAATATCGCTGAGAAAGTCGCCCGTCACTCTAACGATTGCGTGAAGCTGACTATGTATCAAAGGTTCTACAAGTGTAGAGAAGCGAGCTTGTGTTTGTCCCATTACTTCTATTCAACTAATCCCGCCCATCTCTCGCTATGTGGGCAGAGAGTAAGTAGCCTTGGGCAAGCGAACTGACTCTTGGCGGTGAATGGTGCTTTTTCTGCTTCTGCCACTTTTTTTTCTCTTATAGCACTGCATGCCCTCACCCACCACGTCGTAAGAACTCGCTTAATTTCCCACATTCGTCAATCGCTGTGCCTGTCTACCCTTTTGTTCCTCCGCCCTTCGGCCTCCTCCCTCCCGGCCACTCTCTTTATCGCCGCTTCGCTTTGTCGCAACGTGAATTGTCCTTTGGATCGTGTGATTGAAAAAAGACTGCTGGAGACGCTGGCGGCGAAATGTTCCGACTCAATCCGGTGGCCGGATCCCCCTGGCAACGCGTTGAGAGTGCCGACGGCCCCTACTACTACAACCTTCTCACAGAGGTTGAGCTTGCGTGGCAACGAGACAATGTTGTAGACTCTCCTGTGCGATGGGGACGTTGTGATGTTACGTCTTCATTTGGCGAATTAACGCAGGAGAATATCCCTGGTCACTTTCGTGTCGACGAAACGTGACATCGCCCCTCTGAGCCCGTCGTGCAGGTACAAAGGTTCTTTGTACCTTTTCACGACAAATTGTTTCAATCTTATCAACATGCTATCAAAGCCAAGCCCCCCCCCCTCTGCACGACAGAATATTCGCCACAGCAACGGTCAGCGTACTGGGTGTGCTTGGTCTAGTTGTAAAGCCGTTCGAGCAACTCAACGATTCGACAGTGTGCAACATTTCTGCGTCTAGCCCCAACCGCGTCATTCCCGTCTCTCTCGAGGTTCCGGATGCATACCACCGTGTGAAGAATGCTTCAATATATCAACGAGTTTGAGCCCTCTCGCTGCTGCCGCGTCAAAGCTCCGCCCCACAACATGCCTCTTCTCCCTCGCCCTTCATGCCCATAACCTTTCTGTGCGTTTGGCACAGGAAAGTTCGTGGGAACCACCTCCAGAATGGCAGGAGAACCCGGTTGCTGAGGATTACCATTCCTCGACGTATCAGAACGGCGTGCCCAACAACGACGGGGGTGTCGAGGAGTTGCAACAGCCGGCAAGGTCTGCTATCACCGGCGACGAGAGCAACGAGGAGGGTGGAACTCTGCACTATGCGCCGCCGCAGGAGACGGCACTTGAACCAGTCCCAACCGGCGCCGCCGGCTCCGCGAGTATCGCACAACCTGAAGGAAGAAAAGGATACGATGGAAACGACGGTGCCGCCTCTACCGGGATACGATCGGAGCCGAGCTCGCAACCACAGGAAAATGATACCCATGGCGACATGGCCAGCGCTGGGCCGAGAAGCAGCGGTGACAACAATTCTCTCGATCAAACGTCTGCCGACGTGTTCAGCCAGTGGTCCCTGGAGAAACTTCGGGGGGTTTCTAAGGTGGAGAACGGGCTCTCGTAGTATGTCATGTGGTGTAAGTGAACTTCGTATCGGAGGCGTGATTGGCGGCTGCATGACGATACCGGGGGCGCAGAGCGGGAGGTGGTTGACGAGAGCAGAGGGCGCTCGCTGACTTACGAAGGATAGCGACGCGACTAGACCTCGGGCAAGCTTTACTCGGGGCACAGTTTGCTTTTGACCCTGTATTGCAAGTGTTTGTCTTGGGCTATCGTTGTTTACCGCGCGCGTGCCACCACTTTGCCCCGAGTAACCGGTTTGTTTAGAAACGAGGACCACTAGGTAAGTCTCGACCTAACTTCTGCCGTACGTCGACGACGTCCGTGTTGATACATCAAGTTTTGTTGCGCGTCATGTACTCTGTACCGGTACACGTTAAAGGGTTGTCGACTAAACTCTTGGCACTGCCCGCTTTGACGTTTCTACGCTGGGGCACGACGCACACCCGGCCCATCAGATGCTCCCAGGGAAATGGCCCGTGAGCGATTTCTTGGTGGACCGCGCGACGGAGGACTACGATATGATGCTATCGCTGAACGCGTCTGAGATCGAAGCCATCAAGAACAAGGTCATCACATCTTTGTGTCGCTTTGTGTATGCAGGACGAGGTTGTTGATGGTGGAAATGCCATGATCCTTACTGTGGTTGTGGTAGTGTACGCAGCACGTGTCCTACACTATTGCCACCAACACCGCCGCACAAACTTTGATCGCGAACCGAAGAGGGAATATTTCACGACTTCCCACATGAGCCATACGGTATTCACGGGAAGACGGATCTTTCACAGCTCAGCGCTTCCCTGTGTAGAATTGGTTTTCCATTTCCGAGAAACTGGGGCAAGATTGATGTGTGTTCCACAGTACACCGCACAACGCCAGTAGAGCTGTTCGGGCACACAAGTATTCGCGGTCGTTCCTGCACCCGCGCACCCGCCGGCCTCACGCCGCTGTACCTGGTTGCATACCCTCCTCGTTCCCCATGCCCCCCTTCGATGCCCCTGCTGCTCTTGCTCCCGCTCCTGCTCGTGCTCGCGTGGTGCAATGGCCAAAATGTCCTGGAATTGCGAATATACCAGGGCACGTCCCAAATAATCCGCTCGCTTGTCGGACCCGAGGATGGGGAGGACGACGACGAAGATGAATTGTCTCTGTCCTGCGACTCCTGTGAGACGGCGGACGACCCACACCTAGAGGACCAGCTGTCCGCGTCGGCGACGGCCGACCAGGTTGAGGTAGGTCAGGCTAGTGCTAGAGTCAGGGCCAAGGGTTGGAGTGTACGTCGATGAGTCGCACACTCGTTCCGTTCGGGCATCGAGATATGGCTTCGAGTTTGCGGAAACCGTAAACTAATCCGGATGCAGAATCAGATGAATTGCAGACGAGCAATTCCCGTGCGGTACGACGATGATGTCCTCGTACCAATGGGCTAGAGCGTGCACCACAATATATACAGCCGTGCCTCTCTCATAGCACAGCATGCACCGCCATATTGCCAACATGCTGTTACGACTCGATGTCGCTCTTTTCCCTTTCACCTGTCAACCCCCGAGTGTGCCCCCTGTCCTCTTCCACTCCTGGCGACCCCCGCGAATGGTTCTGGCAGTACCCAACCGCGCAAGGATCCCTCGGAAAGCCCAGCGGAGGCATTGGAACCGCGAGGGCATTATCGGTGACGTCATTCCCGGGGTCTTCTCCAGGTGACGCGGGCGATGGGGTTGTGACGAATGCCGGGAAGAAGGAAGCCGCTGCTAGCGCCACGGGAAGCGAAAGCGCCGGCAAGAATCGAGAGATTTCCCCAACGACGCGGCATGTTGAAGGCAAACGGCTCAGGCTCGGGCGGCGTGGGTCTTTGCTGGGGCTGGACCGAGCGAAAGTCGACAACGAGGGCGAGGGGCTCGATGGCTGGAAGGTATGTGGTAGTGGTTGCCCGCGACACGTCTTTCCCGTGGCACTGGAGCCTCATGACACTACTTTTCAGGGCGGGCTTGGTTCCGCCGTCTTCGGAATAATAGTTATTTTTTTTGGTGGGAGTTGTCCTAACCTAAAGAAGTCATTTCGGGAAGCGCGACGGCGGCCGCTTTAACTGTCGAATTCTCCACTCGAGCCCCCCACGTCCCTCAAATAAGCATTTGTGCTGATCCTCACCGCAAGATTTCTTTTTGCCATGTCGTGTGTGCGACCTTCCAATACGATCCAAGCCGGGTTTTGCCGAGGACGGCAGCTTGTACTTTATCCACCAGGAGACAGGGGAAGTCAGGTGGACGTTTCCGGTAAGACAGGGCGGAGGATGGGTTTTTGTGGTCGAGAGGGAGGACGGAGAAGGAGCACGCACATTCTAACCCCAATTTCTCTTTGCCATGCACGCCAAGTACTTCGATGGAGTGGTGTTCGCGCATGTTTCTCCAAGGGAGGGAGAGATGATTGGCACATGGTGTCGAGGTTTGCCTGGAAACGTGGTTCAATTGCAGAATGTTTCAGGACGGCCCGTGGGAGGCGACGAAGTGGAGGCGGTTGGTAGATGTCGCATATTTCTGGGAGACTGGTGTCTTCGTCGGTTGAATTAGGCCAGAGAAACGCGCGGTGAAAAAAACAGTACAACGGAGAGGCACCGAGGGAGGGCACGCTTGAGAGGCAGAGTGTTCGAGGCGATTTCTCGGACGCCGTTGCGTAGAAAGGTTGCACCATCGGGTGATTCGACGTCGGGGTTGTGTAGGGGGGCTTCTGTCCTTGTCAACACCCTTGAAACAAACCTGCGCATGTTTCCTACGGAGAACTCGGAGGTGAGAAGAGGCCGTAAGAAGAGCTTCGCACCTCAACAAGAAAAGGTCAACATGTACAAAACCTGTAAGAGTCGCGGTGACCTGACCCGCTATTGTACAAACTGCTGGCCTTGTTGTGCGGTAGGTGCGGGCATGGGAGGTGAGGGCCAGACAGCTGGCCTTGCTCACTCCACGCGCTCCGTTGGAGGTAGGGAGGGGTGTCTGCCGCCTGCGAGAGACCTCAGAGATGAAGAAGAAACGCCTAGCGCACCGGTGAGACCTGCGAAAATAACCGCCAGGAGCTTGCCTGTGGGACAAACGAAGCGGGCTCACTTCTCCGCTACGGCCCATGCCCCAGTCGGTGTGAATTTGGTTGGTGTGTTCATTGTTACCAGCGTATGGTTCTAGGTTGGCTTCGGCAGCTTATCGAAATGGGTTGGCATAGGGCTGAAGAAAAAGAAAGCTAAAGGCGTGTAAATGCTCAGCGTGTGATGGGATGGATTGTTCTATCGGGAGGGGTACAACAACATCGAGTTGGCCTAAACATTTCTTGGGATAACCTCTCTCGGGCAGTGACGTCCTTCAATGCAACACGATGTCGTACGCAGTTCGCAGTACGACGGCGGGGGATGCTACGGGAGCATTTGTCCCCCCAAAACGTATCGCCAAACGACAGTACCAATATTCTAGCCTTAAGGAACCCTCGTTGTTGCAACATACTTTCACGTACGTATCAAGTCTCCTGTCACCAACCCCGGAATTACACTCGATTTATTTGGCACCCACTACATAATATTTTCCCAAATAAATCGTACAGATGGAAGGTGGAACAGATTCTAGCACGGGAGGCCCTTCGTCGAGAAAAAGATCCTACCCCCGCCGAGGCGGCGCAGGATGCCATGGAGAGCATTATCACCGCGATCGAGGTATGTATGCGATGCTGAAAAGCCACACCCAAACCGAATGGAGTGAAAACGCGTTCGCGTTGAATGGAGGCAAAACTAGCGTTCTCGTACACGCGTTGGTGCCAAGCATCGCTGCATCAGCTGACGCCAATCCGCATCAATTCGTACCTGTCCACGAACATCAAGAGGCTTTCTCGCCTCTACTGAATACGTCTGGCTATGATAACCCCAGGATATGGCCTCGGTTTCGTAGGGAGCGGTAATACGTCATATGAACGCTGCAAATCTCCGTTCAGCTTCGACGGGTGCAATGCTCGAACCATGCCACTCTTTCCACCACAAGCGAACCATTTCAAACTGCAAGGCTTCGTAGTGGAAACTCGTGTAGTATCATCCTCCATCACATCTGGAGGCTTCCGACCCCCTTGCACCCAACACGTCACCTCTGAGTGACATTGTCGAACGCACCCCGAAACCTGACAATCTTTATAAGACAGAGACGGGAGGATAAAAAGCGGCGGCGTCAGGAGCACAACATCCGCGCGTTGGAGCGGGCGCGGTGGCACCCTTCAACTTCGGGTTACCTGATGCAGAGGCTCGCGGTTTCAGCATCGACAACAGCCATTGCCGCTGCGCGGTAAGCGTTGAACGCTTACCTGTATATGTTCCGGGGTGTATGGACGACGAAAATTTATCCCTGCAAACACTCGCCGGGACCACAACTAACCGGAGGGTGTCGTACCTTCCACTCTGTGAAACCGCATCGCTGGTGATGAGGTTGATTCTCACGTTGGAGTAGAGCGTGAGTTCGGGGGGGCAAGTGGCACCCGGTGACAGCAAGCAGCACAAGACTAGACCTTATTTTACCCTTTTCAACCTTCGTGATCTACTGACGGGCTGGCGCATCACTACTTCAGAGCGAACGAACTGGAGGAAGGACCTGAAGGGAAGATGATACTCACGGACGCGGATTTTCTGGATATGAATCTAACGCAGGTAGGCAGAACAAAGAACAGACGGCAGGCAACGGATGTGAGGTACCCGTTGTGCAGCGTCTAGGCGCCAAAATAAGAGGCCATGAACAAAAGTTTCACCAATACGATCAATCGTGTTGGTCGCGGTTGTCTTCGAGCGACGTCGTCGGCAGGGATAAAAATATTGCCACACGTAGAAAGCAAGGGTAAGGCTTTGGTCGTGTTTACCTTGCGCCGAGCACTTATGAGCACAACCCAGAACACCAATTGCTCTGCCAACACTGCCGTAGGGATGCACACCGAGCATGGTATGAGTGCCATGTGTCGTAGAACCGGGAAGCGATAGTTTTGGCGTTCGATAGGACGGTAGTGTTTCGCAACAATTCATCTTGTACTGGCAGCGACATTACACACATTTGCCTTCTACACCACCTCATGTAGGCTTCTCTCCTAAACAACAGCATCATGAGCAGTTGCGATAGGTTTTGATTGACCAGATCTCGCGTGTAGCACCTACCACGACATCCCTGTGCAACAGCTGAAACGACACGTGCATGTATCCTTAGAGACTGAGGCCTGCCAACACTGCCTCTGTCAGAAATATTGTGTCCTTACACCCACCTCCGTTGCCCAACGATACCCCAAATGATCGCCCAACTGCTACAGCACCAGGCATTCTTGCTTGATCTGCCCGGCATCCCTTATGACGCTTTCAGCGGACAACTTGGCCGCGTGCGTGCATCCTATTGATTCATCCAGCCCCTCACGAACCGCGTTCCTTAGGGCGGGAGTATGATCGCTCGGGGCCAACACGTTGTTGTCCAAGATCCGCCGGCAACAAAGACGGGAACACCATCAAATCGTAGACGCGAGGCAAGGAAAGCGTACCGGTTGAAGAGAATGATGACACACCAGAGGTTGTGCCCGAACGTACGATGCTGTCGGAAGAGGAGTGGGGCATGAATTACTCCACGGCAAACGTCGCTAGTTTGGACATAAACCCTACCCCCTCAGCGTCATCTGGTGATTTCTGAAGCACCCCGCATGAAAGGCACAACCCCAAAAGGTGTACGCGTACAAACCAACAGGAAATGTTGAAACTTCAACACTCTTCCCACAGCACACGTTTTCCGTATGCTAAAGCACCTGAGCCAACCACTTTTGTCTCGCACGCCCCTCTGGTAAACCATTTCGGGCCCTGTTTAGGGAAGGGGCCTCGCGACCCCGGTACACTTTAACCTGCCCACCAAACTTTTTCAGCCGCGCACGAAGGGGGCGAGGTTACCAGCCGCCCCGAGCCTTCCGACCCTACCTTCTCTTCGAGCGCTGGCCGGAGTTCGGTCGCTGGGCGATCTCAAGCGCGAACTGACAGCGCTCGGAACAGCCACTCGCACCGCCACGGCCACACCAGCGAATCAGGAGCAGGCGATGACCACGGAAGGCGGTGGCACTGTTGGCGGAAATGCCCTCTCGTCCATGAAGACTCGGGCATGGAAGAGAAAGGAGAAGGCCACCGTAGCCGAATCAGCAGACACAGCCAGCAAGGCTAAGGGAAAAGCTTTGGCTGACGGAGGTACGCCGGTGCCCGCAACAGCAGTGGCAGTGCGCACGGAAAATGACGAAACTTCGACAGCACTAGGACGGCAAGACAGCGTCGCGGCGCCGGCACCCGCCGACTCCCCTCCCACGAGAAACGCCGAGTCTCGTGCTGAGCACGATGGGGCGACCGCGGCCACCGGGAAGAGATCAAGGGACGACCACAACAAACCCAGCAACGACCGCGGCGACAGCGGCAGCAGCAGCACCAGCAACATCGCCAAGGGCGCTTTCGCCTCAACAAAAGCACCGTCGGCAGCGACAACAGCTGTCAGACCGGCGAGTGTACCGAACGGCGGGGCCAAGGATTCCAAGGGGCAAGCCGGGACGGGGAACGAGGAGGAGGAATCTCGACAACAGTACAAAAAGGGCCCGCCAAGCCCTCGCGTGCTGACGGCCGTTGCGCCCCTCGACGAGCAAGTGCGGGGATTTGGGGTGAGAACAGGCTCATTCCACAGAATCTCAGGAACATGTGTGTGGCAAAACAACCCGAGCTTATTGCCGGAATTCCCAATGAAGCACGTACCCGGCCTCACTACGCTCTGGTTCAGGCACTACGGCAGTATTCCTGAAACTGGACGTTACCAACGAAATCTGTCAGCATGATTTTCTCCTGTGATTGCAATGAATATGAGGTTTGTGATGAACTTGTACCTTGTTGGGCGACCAAGTCAACGGACGGTGTTACCCTTTTCGTCATACACTATTCAGAAGTGTAAAAAATGCTAACAGAGAACACCCGACATCAAGAAGCGACCTGATGCGTCGTTTTATTTGAATAGGCCAAGCTAGCGCTCAAGATCGAGACCGGAGATCTTGACCCAAAGCGCGCGGGCGATGCCGTGGCAGCGATGGCGAAAAAGAGGTTGGCTGCGGCGGGGAAGGCCATGGGCCTCCCAAACAAGGTCGCCACTACGACAAAGGTAACCGTTTGCAAACCAGGATGCATTGATTGGGTGACTCCCCCGTGGGGATCCGGCTGGGTTCTCGACTGGTGTTCCCTGTAGACCAAGGGTACGTTATCCAAGAGACGGCAATAAAACGGGGCAAGGTTGCACCAAGGGCCCCCATGATTCAATGCTGAGAGGGCTTACGTTGGAAGTAATATGCTGGGGGGGGGGCGTCCAGCTTTTGCTTGCGCTATCCCCCGGCCCATTGAGCTTTGAAAGTAATCAAAACATTAGCACAGACGGAAAGCGCCAATGAAGCGAGTCTCCTCGCTTTGGTGATTCTGCTTCAATTCTTGGTTTCCTCCAGCAACAATTCTTCGGTGAACGCCCGTCGTGTTTATTGACGGCTATCGAGTCGTGGGTCCATCGCTCACTCTTTTCAAAAGTCCTCGTGGCGTTAATACCGTTCTCTTCCAATACTCGGTAGGTGGTCAATTCTGCACTACCCCTCACGTTTTTGTCGGCACCAGCATCGTCGCACTGCATCCTTACCCCGACTTTACGTCAAAGACTTTTCTGTTCCTTCGCCCACGCACCCTTTTTTGCACTATAATAGGTGCCTGAGAAGCCCGGCAGAGTCCTCAGGCCCCAGCCGCCCCCGCCAGACGTGTCTACCATAACTATTGAGTTAGCTTGCACGCCGCCTCCGTTCAATCTTCTGACCACGGTCAAAGTAGAGGTAAGAGACAAATTTCTGCTTGAGAGGTTGACGCTCGTGGAGCATTCTCCCCGCAACGGCACGTCGGCAGGGAACGCCAGAAATGGTACCATGTTTTCGGTTTGTAGGTGTCCGAGATGAGTACGATGAGACTCAACAATCTGTCTGCACGTCCTCGCTGCTGAATGCCGTGACCTAAAGGACCCGGCCACCGGCAAGAAGTGCGACCGCGAGGAGTTGACCTCGGTACTACGAGACGCCTGGGAGGGCATGCTGGTGCGGGATATCGCCATGGCGGGAGGAGTCGACCCTCAGCAGGTAAAAAGAAGAGCGTATTTGGAGGAAATGCACAAGCGTTGGTGATTACTCACGTTACCGTCGGCATGGCATGGCTTCCAGGATGTTGGGCCGCAGCAAACCTTTCTTAGGTAAAACTGCGCGTCAGACGCGCAATTGGAAGGCTGTCCATGTTCTCGGGCATTGGGAGCTTCGAGAGAGCAACGCGATGCGGTGCTGAGCTCAGAGAACATCCGGCCTGTGACTCACGCGCGGTCTGGAAAGAACTGCGAATACATGCAATATATTGTCATCGCTGTTGCGCAGTTGACGTTTTTTGCGTACAGTAGAAGGTACGGGCCGCTCCTCCTACATCCAGCGCCTTGGGTGCCTATGGAACTGTTCCTTTGAATTTGTATATAATCCAGCTTTTGACGACGCCCCGCTAGCAGCAGCGGAGAGGTTTCATCCATCGGTTATTGAAACCTTCAAAACGGTCTTGATGTGCCAAGATTTTCAGTTGCCTCACGTTGCACCTCACGTGTAAGTATTAATCGTTGTCATAGTCGACGCTATTATTAACCTAACGCCAATAGCTCGCAGGGGGTAGATCTCCCCCTGCACCAAAAGTGCCCGCATGGACTGTAGTTTCCGCGAAGACGTACACACCGCACAACATGGCCGAGCCTATCACAAATGACATCGCTTAGCTCGGGGCCACATGAGCCGATTTATTGAAGACTCAGCCCTCAAATTGGAAATCATTAAGAGCTCTCAGCTGTTTGGAAGTACCTCTCTATGCGTTTTTTTCAAAACTGACGGTAAGTTCCGAACAAGACGACCGTCGTTCATCCCTTCTTACGTTGTCCATCTCCGCTTGTCAGGTTATAGTTGAGGAAGTCCGTCACCGGCGGGTAAGCACAGCTAACGCTTCAGCAGACGCATCGCCTTTTCGGCCGGATCGACGAGACGAGACTTTCCGCCGTTGTGCTGGAACAGAGCACGCGGCGGCGGGAATGGCAACGACAACAAGAAGCCCTGCCCCCGCTCGGGCTGAGGGCCTTGTCGCGCCCTTTCCTACTTCAGGACAGCGGCAGGAGGAACCGCTTGGAAGCAAAACCGAACGACTGCTGGCACCGGAGAGTTGTTCTCTCCCACAGGCGGGTCTACGTGCAACCATGACCAGGCGCTTGCGTCCTCCTGTCGCGAAGAAACGAAGACTGGGCAGGGGCTGGGCTGGCCGTGGCGGCAGCGGCGTTGGCGATCACGGCAAAGAGCAAGCCAGCCTCCTCACTGATCTTAACGGGGAACTCTCGCGCGCTTCGCCGCAACTTGGCGAAGTAGATCGGCGCGCGTTCACGGCTCCGAGCTTGGGCTCCCCTTCCTTGGGGGTAGATGAGGTGGTGGGGGCATCGGGGACACCGCGAGAGCCGGTGGCGGGGTCGTCCGGGCCACAAAAGATGCTGCTGCCGCGCATTGCTAGCAGTAACGGGTTTTCGTCGGACGGCGCGTGGAATTCCACGGGGCAGGGGACAGGGGACACGCCGTTTCGCAGGAGAGGCGCCGTTGTCAACGGCTCAGCCCCGTGGAAAGGGATGAATTTTGCAGATATGAACGTGGCGGATGACCATGTGAGTCGGCGTCCAAAGGCGGATGCGCCATTATATTGCTGGTTTCACACGCGGAAAAGGGAGAGGTGAAAAGTGTTGTGTGCATCCAACGGATACATCCCGCGCCGCCACCTGGGTCCGTACCGAGTTTGGCTTGTCTTCCTTTCTGTGGCAAAACTGTACCTTGAACACATCGTCTCCCGTGTTAGATGCTTTATCTATTGTGTGCGACGGAAAGGCTTCTCTCCGCACCAGGGCGAACACCGCAAACGTAACGTGGGTTTGGGTATATTTGTCATGACTTTTGACGCGGCTATCAGAGCAACACCCGGGTCTATTATCCTTTCGAAACACTAGAACACAGCGTCCTGAGCCCCACCCATGAACGTTTCAAGCTCAACTCTAGAGTAAACCAAAGGAAAGGACAAGTTTCGGCGTTGCGCCCGTGGCTGAGCGACGACCTGGTCTGCCAAGACCGAATGTGCCCTTAATGCGGAGAACCATAAGGTTCAAATTATTTTGTGACACCACGCCATGTAGATTGGTGGTAAAAGTTCTTGCTAGAAGGCCTTCCCCGCTTGCTGCATCCGAGAGAATCAACGCCATCGAGCATCGTTTGGGGATCCATTTTGCTTTTGCACAAAATCGGCGAAAAAATCTTGAAAAAGTATCGCACGGACGGCCTTTCAGAGGACAAGGAGAATTCGGTCGGCCTCTTTTCATCCTCAGATTCATCTGAGGTAGACCTTGGAAAGCAACCATGTTCACAGTATCGTCCTTCTATTCGGTGAAATATACTATGCATACAACAGGCGGTTGGGATCGGGGCCGGAAATCGAGGCGATTTCGGCATCCTCGGTCGTATCCAGCAAGGGGGCGGCCGCTTTGTCGGAAGCTTGGGGCACATGCAGGAGATGTTTGAGCCGGTTGACGAAGGACGAACTCAAGACCCTGAGTGAGCACCAAACGGTTTTGGGGTAAGGGGTCGGGGCTGGACAACAACGCGGTGGAACTGATGGTCTTTCAATCCACCCAACAGCCACAACAAAACACAGCAACAACATTCTCGTGACCGTAGTGTGAAGGTTGGACCTGTTCACACGGTCGAATGGGTCTCTATAAGCATGCTCGTGGATCACCTCACGTTCAGCTGGTGTTGGTGTTGGTGTGATAGTTCTTAGTGTTTTTGTGATGATAAGAGTGTTGATCTTGTTGTTGTCGATTTTGTTCATGATGATGGTGTGTCATGGTGGTGTCGGTGATGTTTCGCAGGGTGCAGGTGGCGATTCAGGAAGCCGCCAGGCTTCGGAGCAACACGACATGGCAGGCAAAAGATGATCTGATGAAGGGTAGGTGGTTGCTCGCCCGTCACGCGCTCCGCTCCTCGCAGCAGCAAAGAATGGTTCACTCCGCGAATGACGCAGTATAGTGTTGGCACATCTGCCCGATCTTTCGAACCTTTTCGGTGGACGGGCGGATAGTTCTACATTCCTCTCTGGACACTTTGGAAAGGACGAAACAAATCAAAGTCTCATGGTAATGTTTAGTGAAGAATTACGTAATAATATTTACTTTCGAACGTGAGACTTAGAAACATCGGGGTACCAACATCGAAAACGGTTCGGGCTTCGGACCCCCAAACGCCCGCCCCCCCCGCCTCTCTGTGGTAAATCAAGCCGATCACTTCGTGAGCTCAGCAAGCAGGTTACCGATTTTTTTTTGCCTCTGTATTTTGTATTTGCGGTAACGATATTTGTAGTCGAGTAGACTATGTTGTGCGGGGTCGAGAACCCTCACTCCGCGCAAGGGGGGGTTTCCCCCGCCGCCCCTCCCGGTGTTTACCATCGGGGTTGGGTTTTCGTCGCTTGGCAACGACGTTGTAAAACAAGCCGCCCCCCCCCGGTGTTTGCCATCGGGGTTGTGTTTTCGTCGCTTGGCAACGACGTTGTAAAACAAGCCGCCCCCCCCGGTGTTTGCCATCGGGATTGGGTTTTCGTCGCTTGGCAACGACGTTGTAAAACAAGCCAATTCACTTCGTGAACTCGGCAACCAGGTTACCGTTTTTTTTTTTTTCCTCCGTTTATTTTTTTTGGGCGGTAACCATAATGATGGTTGAGTAGATCATGTTGTGCGGGGTGAACCCTCACTCCGCGCAAGGGGGATGATCGCACCACGTTGTGTTGAAATGGTCAAGCACCCTCGAGGCAGTTACACAGTGCTTACAACTGTCTCTGGAAGTGAAAGCACCAGAAAATAAATTAATTCATACGCAGCTGTCATCCGTACGCAAGGAAGTAAGCACAAGATGCCGAACACCCTTAGCAGGATGCAGCGCACCCTTCATGCGACTCGCCGAATATCTCACGGCGCTTCGCGCTTGGTGATGTGAGAGCCTGGTCCGGTGAGAACCCGGCGTGCTCCGTCCCGGCTTTGTAGGGATGCGAGGTCAATGGTCTAACGACTACGGCATGCACGACCATGAGTACACCCCCCCTCGCCCCCCATCTAAACTTGAGTGGGTTGGCGCTGTGGCAAAGCGCTGTAAAACACGCCACCCCAAATATAGCCCCCCATAGTATGCGCTACCAAAACGCGTGACGCATGGATGCGTGGAGTGAGGATTGCTTACGGAAACCTCACAGGTTGAGTGATGTAGGAGATTGCCGGACACATAGACGTGTTGAGTGATTATAGCTGTGTACTGAAACCCCACGGGTTGAGCGAGGTTTGAGATTGCCAGGACATAGACGGGTTGCGTGGGGATAGCTGCTGGAACCCCACGGGTTGAGTGATGTTGGAGTGCCGGACACATAGACGCGTTGAATGAGGATAGACACATATTGAACCTCACAGGTTGTTTGTATTGGAGATTGCGAGACACCTAGACGTGTTGAGTGAGGATAGCTGCATACTGAAACCTCACAGATGCATTGGTTTTTGAGTTTGCCGGACACATAGACGCGCTGAGTGGGGAAAGCAACATACTGAAACCTCACGAGTTGAGTGATGTTGGATAGTGCCGGACACATAGACGCTTTGAATGAGGAAAGACACATACTGAAACCTCACAGGAGATTTCTATTGGAGGTTGCCGGACACATAGACGTGTTGAGTGGAGATAACTACATACTGGAACTTCACGGATTGGTTTTTGAGTTTGCCAGGCACATAGTCGCGCTGCGTGGGGATGGCTACATACTGAAACCTCACGAGTCGAGTGACGTTGGATAATGCCGGACACATAGACGATTTGAGTGAGGAAAGACACATACTGAAACCTCACAGGTGATTTGTATTGGAGATTGCCGGACACATAGACGTGTTGAGTGAGGATAGCTGCATACTGAAACCTCACAGATGGATTGGTTTTTGCGTTTGCCAGACACATAGACGCTTTGAGTGGGGATAGCTACATACTGAAACCTCACGAGTTGAGTGATGTTGGATAGGGCCGAACACATCGACGATTTGAGTGAGGTAAGACACATACCGGAACCTCACAGGT